CCAAGTCTTACCCAGTTGGGGTGGAATAAGGAGTCTGAAAAATCTTGAGCATTGGAGTCCATTTCAGTCTTTGGGCTGGTGATTGTCTCACCCACTGTTTTCCTGTTGCTCAGGCTACCAGGATATTGCTTTGGCTTTTTGTGTTTTGTTTTTAAGTTTTTTAGTTGTTGATGGACACAGAACCTTTATTTTATTTATTTATTTTTAAGTGGTGCTGAGGATCGAACCCAGGGCCTCACATGGGCTAARCAAGCACTCTACTGCTGAGCTACCAGCCCAGCGCCTTGCCTTGACTTTTCATTCCCATCTTAAAGGGGGTCAGCACCCTAACAGGAGCACAGCGACAACTGGACGTCCAGACAGCGCRTTTGTTATTGAAAAGCCACACTGGAGCTACACACCTCTCCTTTATTGCTTTTCCTCACCATCTAGATGTAAATATTCTCATTCAGTATTTTATTCTACTTTCTACCTGGTGATGTTTTAATTCTGTGGGGAACCAGTGGGCCCAGCTAGTACTATGATATGGAGGGGTACTTAGAGAGTTAAGCATATTTATTTCTGTAACGTTTGTGTGTTTAAACGTGTAGCTGTGTCACTGTGTGCACACCTCCATGGCTATCGGTGTGATAAATCCTGCGTGCTTAGTGAACTGCAATATCGAGCCCCCTCACAGACTTTTCGCCTGAGTGCCATTGATTGACACTGTGGACAGCTCTGTCACATTCTGTCCAGTGTTGGGGGTGGTCTGTAGGCTTTTCCATCAAGTTTAATATCAGGGCCAGTTGTGTTTCTCCTGGGCAGTTTGGTGTGTTTATCTGATTGGTATTGTCTTGTTTCACTCTTTACTTGACCTACTTAATAACTTCTAAACTTTGACCCAGCTCTAACAATTACCCAGTTTGTCATAGCATGCGTTTTGATAAGCCAATTATTCCTCTGGCTTTATTGTTTCAGTTTTTTTATGTTTTATCTTCTTGATTCTCTCAAAAATTATATATATTTAATATTGTGTGTGATTTCTGTACTCTTTTGTAAACACAAGAATGGATTGGAAGCTCCCAAATAAATACATTCACACTGTCTGGGAAAAGTGACAGGAGGGAATATCCTAGCTGGTTATAAAGAGGAAATTCCTCCTAGGGAGGCATTTGTGATGGTGGAGGAAAAGTATTCACTGGGTTCAGCATCCCACAACACCTGTGATTTTGTTCCCGCTCTGCCATTTACTGACACCTTGGACCAGGTTGTATCCCATCTAAGCTTCAGTTTTTTTCATATATCAGATTGGGAGACTGTAGGACATTACACTGTCTAGCTCTGTATCTGACATGCACTTGGGCTCAATGTGAGCTGCTGTTCTTTTCTGGGAGGTGTGGAACAGTTTAGGCAGAAGGAAAAGCAGGAACAAAGACCTGACCGAACTGAAGCATGGGCAATGTTCAGTGGGGCATACCAGACGGCCAAGTGTAGGTCAGGTACAGGGTTTACATAAAAGGTGAGTCTAGACAGGTCCCATGGGATGCAGATGAGATGGGAGTGTGTACTGAATGCTGCTGAAACTGGCAGCCCAGACAGGAACGCTGCAGTATGGAGTGAGACTGGCCATTGTAGAAATGTGGGCAGGATTTGTCTTGTGTCTCTAACAGCACAGTCTTGCAGTTCTCAGACACCTGTGTGCATGAAAATTACCCGAGGACCTTGTTAAAAGCACATTTATTTATTTATTTTTTGGCCTCACCCCTGAAGTCCTAGACTCAGTAGGTCTGAGATGGCCCCTAAGAAACTATTTTGAAATGAGCATGCCAGGTGATCGATATGTAGGTGGCTGCATGTTGAGCTCCACTGGACTCGTTATTGAGGAAATRCCTGCTCACTAACTGGCAGGTCTGAGGAAGCTTAGGGGAAGGAAGATGGAAACAAATGACTGAAAAAGTACATGTTTACCTGCATTATGAATGACCGGTATCTAAGCTGTAGCTTTGTCTCTTATTGCTATGAGTAAATGAGCATCAGTTATATAGATTTTTTTTCCAGATAAAATACAATTAGAATTCATATGATAGTTCTATTTATTGGGTTTTGTAGAGCTGGTGATTTGTCCTCATCCTCTAGATCTAGCAGGAGGCCAAGGGAGGGAAGAGCCTGTTCAAAAGAGAGCAATAAAAGGAAGGAAGCAGAAAAGAAGGCGCTGGCAGCATGAGTCCAGGCAACCAGCAAGATGGAGATGGGAGAGGATGGGAAAAGAGCAGTCGGATCTGATTGGTTGGGAATCTATTTGTGAAGGAACCCAGCCAGTATTTAACCTGTTTTGAAAAAGCTCGACTTCCAGCATTTTTAATTAGTGGATTGCTCGCTTTGAAATTGCCCAGTTGGGAATACTCAAGTTTTGATGTGTTTTAGCTGCCTGCTAATTAGCAGGCAGCTTGACCATCATTTTTCCTTTATTTGGTGGACAGAAGATGTATATAAAGGTCCCCTGAAACATTCCAGGTCAATTCTGGGTTCCAATGTGGAAGAAACTGTGTATTTAGAAAGAGTTCTTCCTAAACTATAAATCAAATTTTAATGCATGTCTTTCTCCAACTCCATTCTTTTTGCTCTAGCACGGGGCTTCTCAATCTCTGCATAGCTGATATTCGGGTCCAGAACGTGTTTTATTTTAGGACACTGTTTTGTGCCTTTCTGGAATGCTTATCTGCATCCCTGGTCTCTGCTCATTAGATACCAGTATCCTCTCCTTTATCCCAAGTTGCAAAGACCAAAACTGTCTCCAGGCATTGCCAGTGTTCTTTGTGGGGTGAGGATTGCCTTCATGGAGACCCACTGGCTTGGCAGCATGGTCTGGTTTCCTCCTGGTCTCTGCCTACTTTATATGTTTCAAATCCTTTTTCTGTTTGAAAAGATAAAATTAGTCCAAATAACGTGCCGTCTTATGGTAGGTAGAGGGAGTCAAATCTGTTCCTCTAGTTACTTTTTGGCCAAATACAAGAGCTCTCAAATTAATCCAAGCTGGCTGTTACAGGTGAAGAGGAAGTTGAGTTGTGCCCAAATTTTGAAAACTTGCAGTGGTTGAGAGATTTTGTTATTTATACACTTTTTTTTTTTTTTTGGCTGACAATGTTTTTATTTAAGAATTAAGAGAGCCATGTAGTCTACAAAAAGTACTCATGTGAGAATCCCAGGGGTAGTAAGGAACTTCTTCAAGTACTTTAGTTCAGCATATACAGGATAGGCCAGCATGTTGGTTGTTAAACAGCAGATTTGGGGAAAGCTTTACACCTTTCCAGTTCCATGTCGTCCCCAGAGCTTTCTTCACGTGCCTTCAAGCTCACAGTGCACTGATTCTAACCGTCCACGGGGACATCTGTTTGCAGATGCAATGTCTTCTAAAGGACCAACCAAAGGAACTGAAGTACTGTTGGTTGATTTGTTGTGTATGATATGATTGTGTGTGTGTGTGTGTGTGTGTGAGAGAGAGAGAGAGAGAGAGAGAGAGAGAGAGAGAGAGAGAGAGAGAATATTCAGGTCCAGTGGTAATAGGTCAGTTGCTGTTCCATCTCTCTGAACACATTCTGTAACACCATGTACTCTACGGTACCCAAAAATAAATCAATTAATTATACGGTGATTACTTCTGCTGATAACAAAATAGCAGTAATAAAAAGAATGACAGTAGAGCATTCAGAGAAAAAACAATGTCACTGAAATGTTAGGAAACACAATAAATAGAACAGTGTTTCCTGGACCCAAGTTTCACACCCTCCAGTTCTGTCAGGGCCTGTTGGTGATGGCTGGCTGTTACCACTGTGATCAGAGTCATGGGAAGGGGACCTTTTCAGGCTTACGGTGGGCCTCTCATCAAAAATCTGAGTCATTGCTAAATGGAGAGTGACTGCTCTTACACTGAAGTACTTTAAGCACTGAGGATGACAACGGGGCTGTCTCACCCTGCATTCCCAGTGTTTGCCAGTGGAAGGACTGATGGGACAGTTATGAATCTGATCAGCCTGAGAACTTCACTGGGGCAGAGTTTAATGGATTTTAACTTTCTGGTAGTTCCTGTAGTTCTCTTTACCATTATTTATCTAAATAAAATATCGCTTATCTGTTTATTTAAAATTGTTTATTTATTGGTATTGGGAGGTTGAATCCAGGAGTACTCTGTTCTGAGCAGCATCTCCAATCTATTTTGCTTTGTTTTGAGATAGTGACCTGCTAAGTAGCCCAGGCTGGACTTAAAGTGGCAATCCTCTTGCCTCAGCCAACTCAGGAGCTGGAATCACAGGTGCGCACCACTGCACCATCTTGCTTTTGTGATTTAATAACAACTTTCATTTCCACATCTCAAAGTCCACGCTGAGGATCATAGGCCAAGTGATGCATCTAATTAAAAAAAAATAACAATTAAAAGAGAAAATGTTGTCTCAACCTAAATAACTTGAAAAAAGAAATCCTCATATCTCTGTTCGATACTGGTGGAAGTTGACTACTTAGTCCATTTTTTTTTTTTTTTGCTTCTATTTTCTGTTGCATGGCTGTAGTCTGGTGCCATAAGTCTTTATTAGAGAACAAAAAAATTCAGCAGYGTTAAACTAACAGCTGTAAGCATTAGTGTGGATATTTATCTCAATTTAGCTTCTCTTTTGGATTAAGGTTATGTTAGTGTATTTTTAAACTTATTTTGTTGAAAAGATTTTAATAAAACTTTAAGTGCAGTTTCGTGTCTATAAAAATCGAGGCTATCAAACATTGTGAAGGATGGAAGTAATTTTTCTGTGCATACCTCTGGTTCCTGAGGGTCCAGTTCATTTCTGCTGTGAATTTAAATGAGTTAATTTAAGTAGATGGGTCAGAAGCCACTATCATCATGGTAGCCCTGTGCCTGGTTCTTAATTAAAGGCAACAGGAGATTAATTTGAAACATTAATTTAAAAGTGCATATACAAAAAGAAAGAATTATTGCAAGAAAGCCTAAAGAACTTTTCTCTTGTCCCTAGATGTAGAAGACAGAAGTAGCTCAGGGTCCTGGGGGAATGGAGGACATCCAAGCCCGTCCAGGGTAAGTATATCTAATCTCTTCTCCCACAACCAGACATCCCACATATGTAAATTGAAAAACTGAAGGAGAGTTTCTCACATGCATGCTGACACACGMGCGCACACGCACACATACACACACACATACACACCTGCCCAGATACATATGCATACCAAGATTAATGAGGATCAGCTTGTCTTTGGAATTTGTTTTTTCATTCTCTTTTTGGATACCGTTTCTGAATTTACACCTGTTTCGTTTGTGCCCACCAGAAGGAAAAAGCCTTCATTAAATACTTCGCCTTACTTTTGCTAGTTATTGATCTAATATTCTAGAAAATTATTTGTTGAAGATAGAATAACTGAAAGCAAAATCCTGATATCCCCATAACCTTGGTGTGACTAGACTCTGGAATCGTCTGGAAGACACTGTCCAAGGCCTGTCCTCCTAGTGCAGACTGTGTCATGAGTCTGGCTCCGTGTCATGCTGGGTACACRTTCYAGCAGCAGGRCCTTTGCACAGCAGTTGGATTCRTTCACTTATTTAGTCTCAGATTTTTGCTGCCCTTTTTCATTGGTTGTACCTTTTGGGTGATTGGGGAAGATCATAGGATGGGGTGGGGCTGGGGGTGATGCCTTTGGGTTTTTGTATGCATATGACCTTGGGCATGCCATTTCACTTTTTTTGGTCCTCGTTTCCCTAATTTGTAAAAGGGAACATTGGAACCAGAATATCATCTGTGTTTCTAATAATTTAATGATGTGATGTCTTTCACTGACTTTTTCCTAAGGCCTCTAAAACTCATGTCAGCTTTTGTAACACACACACAGACACACACACACTTCCAGATTGAAAGTAGACTCCTTGCACACTTTAAAGCATATACATCTCCCTCCCCCAGCTGGGCCTCTAGGTAAAAGATTTTGCAGTGAGAGAAACTTTTTTTAATATTTATTTTAAATATTAAATATTAAATAATAAATATTAAATATTAGTTGTAGTTGGACACAAGGCCTTTATTTTATTTGTTTTTATGTGGTGCTGAGGATCGAACCCAGGGCCTCGCACATGCTAGGCGAATGCTCTACCACCGAGCCACAACCCCAGCCCYTGAGGGGAATTTATTACTGCAAGTGTTCACATCAGTTTGGAGTAGAGCTGGGGTATCTCTATTTTGGCATTAGAGGCAGGGGAGGTCATCAACTTGTCAAAACGAGGACATTTTAGCAAGTCATAGTTACACATTTCCACCTGTCCTTGGCACTGGGAGCTCATGCTAGTGTTCAGGGTAGAGCAGGATCTCTGAGCTTACTACGAACTTTGTTGAGCCTCACAGCAGCTGTCGAGCCTGACATTCTAATACATTATATGGATGGGTTGAGGAAATCTTTCCTCCTCCTCATGTTACAGTCTGCACTTGCAGAAATAAATCCATTCCCTTTGACAGCAAGTAGAGATGATGGAGCTCCCCTCTCCTGTTCAGTCCATTCAGATCTACTCAATTTCTTTTTCTTACATACGATTGTATTACTTGTAATTCAGTACAGTGCTATGTGTATTGAACCGAACAGACTTTGTAAGAAATAGGAAATATTTGTTATTATTATACATTATTTCTTACTATACGCATTTAGTTCATACACACGGTCCTTTGGGTTTGGCCAACAAAAGTCCATTTAGAATCATTCTGACTTTCATCTAAATTTGATGTTTACTAACTGCCAGTTTTCTTTAGGAATATATTCAAGAATAGTTTTGAGTCAGTATATTATAATATATATTTTCCAAAACCAGGGAGTTTGCATGAAATAGATAATTTGCAGACTTGGGCCCAGACAGCCTCACCATGCCCCTCTCCTACTGTCTTTGACTGGTGATATTATCTTCCTTGCAGCACTGCACTGAGGATTAAATTAGATAATGCATATTAAGCTTCTCGTGCACTGTCTAGAATGAGGACACTTAATAAATAATTAGTGTTATACAATGCCTGGTTATAAAACCCACAACAGGTATTTGTAAAAAGAGACATCTTTTTATATGTGGACATATTGACAGAATTAGGTTACTGCAGCATCCAAGTTAATTTTTGCAAATGGAGAAAGGCGATTGGAAGCAGACTTGTTTGTCCTCYGGGTTCCAGTTGTTCTCCAGCAAGGTGACGATGTGCCGTTTTCATTGTTCACACAGCATCCATCTTTCCTGTGTGGGCAGACCCTGCCCTTTGGCTTACGCGCCAACTGATACCTCTAAGTAAATTTGACTTAGACTTTATGGGCAGCTTAACCAGCTGAGCAGAGTCCTTCCCCACCATCCCCTTTAGCTACTTTATATATAGAGACTGCAGTTTGAGTCCTATAGTACAGATGATTTTAACTCTTCGACGTTATCAGATTTTTCCATTAAGATTTGAATGACTGGAAAACTTACAAACATCATTTTAACTTAAAATTCCCAGACAAGGATATATTTACAATAATAAAAAATACGTGTCCCAAATTTTCTGTCTTAAAACTGATATTTTTTGTTTTTGTGTCTGATGTATTTGGCCAACTCTGGACATACTAGTTTACACTAAAGCTTTGATGTTTATAGTTGTGTTCGAATTTTCTTCACATTCCTGTGTGTTAATTACTGATATAATGAACCCATTCTCTTAAAACCACAAGGGCAACTGTAATAAAGCACTGAAACTTCAATACCATAAAACCAAATGTTGTTGTTTAAATGCCTCTACCCTGGTCTTCCAAAAACAAATCATTACAGGCTGTGGGTAGCTTCCCCTTATGGCACAATGTTGCTTTAATATAAGCTTATCAAAGGAATAATTTTTAATATGTGTAGTATAATTCCTATGTGTCTGCTGTTTTACATGYATTATTTCATGTCAACAACTCCATGTGGTTGATGCCATTATTATTATTAGTAGTAGTAAATTTAGTTCAGTAGATTCTAGACCTCTTTATTACCTACTGTCTCTGTGAAGGTTAGCTTCCTTACAGTGAGGTTCCAGGTTCAAGGGAATAATGTACTCTAGTTGCTTTGGGTGAGAGATTGCAGTAGTATGAGTATGTTTATGTGTTGATTTCTTTCTTTCTTTTTTTGGTACTGGGGATTTAACTCAGGAGCACTTAACCACTGAGTTACATCCCCAGCCATTTTAATTTTTTTTTTTTTTTAATTTTGAGACAGGGTCTCACTAAGTTGTTGAGGCTGGCTTTAAATCTGCCATCCTCCTGCCTCAGCCTCCCAAGCCACTGGGATTACAGTCTTGAATCACCATGCCTGGCTTATGTGCTGAAATCTTGATGTGAAATTGAAACCTAGGGGCTGGGGATGTGGCTCAAGCGGTAGCGCGCTCGCCTGGCATGCGTGCGGCCCGGGTTCGATCCTCAGCACCACAAACAAACAAAGATGTTGTGTCCGCCAAGAACTAAAAATAAATAAATATTCAAAAAAAAAAAATTGAAACCTACACTATTATTTTATTTACAGAACTATGGAGATGGGACTCCGTATGACCACATGACCAGCAGGGACCTTGGGTCACATGACAATCTCTCTCCACCTTTTGTCAATTCCAGAATACAAAGTAAGACATGTTTTAAATTACTGTGCACTTTTTGAATGCTTATGTATAACCCTGTAGCAGAAACCTGCCTCAGACAGAGGTTGCTGGTTGACTGGGATTTCTATTTGCAGAACAGTATTGACAGTCTGTGCTGGTTAATAGTACATCCATGACTAAGTTCTATAACTATGTAGGATTAAACAATTTCAGTGGTGCTGAATCACTGAGGAAATTTTGTCTTTCTTCGACATGCAGCACTTTCCCAATTTCAATATTGCAATAGTAGTTTTTGCAGTTAAGGTCAATAAAATCAAAGTGTCCAATAAAAATGTCATTGGGCCTGATGGTTGGCAATGATATGTAGTACGTGTGAATTTTTATTATTGGGGTTATGGAAATAAATAATGTCAATGGGCTTAGTGTGCTTAAATCAGAGTAGGATGTTCAAGTGGAATTGTAAAAGCTGTTGTGTATTTATCAAGGTGTGAACTATAAGTGCTTGTTGTCTAGACAGGCCCCATCCTGCATTATTGAAAGCAAGCTACATGCCTGCCTGTAATTTGAGGCTATCTGTGAATTTCTATCTTGCCCTTGATATTGGCTTCCTGAGCATAGTTTTCTGCTTTTGACTACTCTGTAGGGATGTTTGTTTAACAGCAGTAACCTAAGTGATGAAAAGATAAGTCATAATGGCTTAAAAGGTCCCAATAGCTGGCTACTTCAGTTTTGATTGAAGAAATGATCTTTGTTCTAGTTAATGTGAGTTCTTAACAGTGTTAGTGAATCTTTCAACCTGCCAAAATTCTATTGCAAATCTGTCAATAAATGAAGTTAGATTTCATGACACAAGCTGTTGGACCRTTCTCCAAAGGAAAGACACAGCAATAATTAGATCATTCTGAAACTGTATTTCCAAATGGTTCTAAAGAATGTCCTAGTTTTAAAGCCTTGGAAGTTGTGCCAGTTCCTTAACATGGGGATGGTCCAAGGACTATCTCAGTCATTAAAAAACAACAAAAAAAAATCATTAAATCAGCTATTTAGCATAGAATTATTTTGAATGGACAACTTGTATGTTTGTCCCTTTGTGTGTGTCCCCAGCTTTGAGTGCCATAAAGTTAAGTTTGATTCTTTTTTTTTTTTTTTAAATTTCAAAATGGTAGATTTCAGATTTCTGTCTTAATTTGGTAACTAAAGGAGGATCCTAGTTCTATGGTAGTTGCTGATAGGGAGGCATATCAGCCTTCCTGTTTTCAGGATATGTAGAGATAGATAATAGATATGTTTGCCAGCCTAGATTTTTAAAGGACAACTTGAGACTCTTCAGTGTTAGAACAGTTTTAATTCTTATGTCTCTGCTTCTCTGTTCATCCTCACCCAACTTCACAAAATAGAATAAAAGATTCATTTGAAATTGAGTCTTGARGAATAGCACCTAAAGAATATATTAACTTCCTTAGAAGATTTCTAAAATTATCCTCTGATGAGTTAAAGTAAGTTAGAATAAATTACTATTCCTATTTAGAAGTTTACATTATAAATGTGAAAAACTTTCAAGAGCTGCTTGGGGAATTACTACTATAAAAATATACCGGTTAATTAAAATATATTAAAGAATTATTTTCATACGTGTTTCYTCATGGTCAACTGTTTTACAAACCAAATTAGTTCTCAGTCCAAATAGTATTTAAAATATAAGTGGGCTGACACAGTGCTGCGGAGAGAGCCGATTCTTTTCACTTGGTTGTTGTTTAAGCTGAAAATCCATGTCAGCCTTGCCCTTTTATCCCGTCTGCCTTCCTTCCCATTAAACTCTTAAATATGGAGGCCAAGACAGTCTCCTGCATTGTGATAGGAAATGCTACTATGTCCACGAGGCTCCCACCCACTGTTCCCAATGAAAGGACTTCTCTGTTAGATAAGCTGTCTGGTCTGAAACATGGCTCTTTATTGTTTACAAACTGCTACATTTTCCACCTCAAGCAGATTTTTGCACAGAAAAGAATTGTGCTTGGGCTAAATGGTTTATCTGACATTAACGGGGCAGTGTCAGTCTTGGGTCAGGGAAGTCGCCCTTAGAGCGCCAGGGCACTGCTCAGTGTGCAGAAGAAAAAGAGAAAGAAAGACTTTGAAAAAAGTATGAAATACCTGACATTTTTAGTTGAGACAAGAATTAAAAAATATTTTTAGAGAATGACGAGGATACTGTATTAAAAACTCTTCTCACCTCTAATTTCTCTCATCGCAAAGCCTTTTTGGTTGCCTTGGGTGTCTCAGGGCCAGACTTTAGGAACAAAGATTCTCATTGATTTTGCCCAGGCRGCTGTTTATTTAAAATGAAACCACTTTTAAGATGAGTTGCACCTTTACAAGAAAAAGACATATGTCATTTTTAAGAAATTAAGGACAACCAATTCATAATAAAGACAAAGTAAGCTCTTTAGGGAACAGTTGGAACTTATAAAATATATGTTGTATTCTAAACTGTTCTTTGTGTGCAAGCTCCTATTATATGTTATTTGACCTTTGTGGACATTTTCCTTGTACCAAAAGAAGGCGGTATTAGACTTTACTGCAAGTTTTAGACAACAGTCCACTCTCAGGATCTAACTGGTTTTCATTAAAACTACAAAGGATTTCTTTACATTTCAGAGACTCAATTACTCCATGATGTCACATTAGGGTAAAAGCTATAGCATCAGAAATAAATCAGCCACTTTATTGGAGCAGATTCTCTATTGTCAAATCAATCAAGCCTGTGACTGAATTAGGCGTCTGCTACAGAAATAAGTGACACTAATTTTACAGGAAAGAGTTATTAACTGCAGATGACCTGATTTTTTTTTTTTTTTCGAGGAGGAGAGGATAAACTGTTTACTTTGTAAGGTTATATTTTACTGAAAGCAGAGAAAAAGTACTACACCACTTTCTACTTGTGGGGATGAATTTTATTATATATTTAAAATATTTTATTCTTTATGACAATACACTATTTTAGGGAAGTGAAGTAGGCATTGCTAACAAATTTGCCCATGAACTCCTCAATAGTCACAAAACCTTTGATTACAACTCTGAACTTTTAGATTTCACATGAGTGGTTTTAAGTAAATATTACAGTTGTTGAAAAAAAATACATTTGTTCAGCATTAAAATACCCAAACTCTGTATCTCTATCTCAAATTTATGCAAAATGGGATATAACTGATAACAGTGTTAGAATAATTGTTAATATATATTTTTAGAAGTATATTTTTGTGTTCAAGCTCGCATTATATGTTATATGACCTTTGTGGACACTTTCCTTGCACCAAAAGAAGGCAGTCTGAAAATAATATCTTATTTCATAGTTTGTGAATCTCTAAATAAAATAAATGAACACATTTGTACTTATGTGTGTGTGTGCACACTGAGACACATGTGCTTATTATGCTAGAAGAATTCATGACAGTTCTTGGGTTATAAGGTTGTTTTTACTTTTTACATCAGTTTGTGATTGTGGTTATCACAAAGTTTTAGTGGGTTGATATTAAAGAAAAACGTAGTGAAAATAAACAAAAAGCAAGATTCCAATTTTAAAAAGAGTAGGCATGAGTGGCTTTTTGTTTTTGATGTTCGAAGGGGTTGAGACCACAAAACTGACCACCTGCATTACCAGTTCATATGCTATTCTCACCTAATATTTACTAGTGCTTACTCATTGTATGCATTGAGTAGATGCAAACCAGTCTGCATTTTGCCTTAGATGGAATTCCCTGTGCTGTTTTGTACCTGGATACAATAAGTCACTTCTTCCTAGTGCCTGGTTGTGATTATTAATTATAACAATATACACTAGATCTGTCGKAAATTTGTTCACTGCACTTTTAAAACCGTCTCATTAAACCTTCACAGGTGGTCAGTTGGGTAGCTTTCAGAATATGCTAATCGGGCAGAGGGGTCATGAGTCTGAGTCCTGTGTCTTTAAGAGGATTATTTGTACTGGATAGAATACTTGGAAAATCCTGGCAAGAAGTATATACAAAGAATATGGATTTTTTAAAAACATGCTTTGTTTTTCTTTTTGTCTGGCACTAAACTTTGCAAGTTATTGTTCAAATAGTTTTACAATGATAGACAATACATTTTCAAACTCARACTTTTTGATCCAAGGAGGGATCTAAGCATGTATTTTCCTTCCATTGTTCCAGAGCCTTAATTGAAAACCAGATTGAGGATAAGTGAGCATGTTGCCCAGTAAGATTATCTACATGAATTGGTGACTGAAGGATGTGGAAAGTGATACTTTTGTACAGTTGGGTGCAGCTTAGTTCAGCATCAGCTGCTGCGTCTTCACATGCGCCATTGTGAGTGGCTCTGTGTCCTTACTGGGGCGTTTGGTTCTTGTGCTCCTGACAGTGCTGCACCGGGGCACTAAATAATTCAGTGCCATAGAGTAACTGGTTTCTCAACTAGCTCAGTGGAACATTTTACTGCAGGATTAGACTGAGGTTTCAGGCAGAACTGAAGAAAGCTGCTGGCTTATAGGCTGACCTTTGAATCTCATCTGGGTTAGCGGTTGATATTTTGATTTGGTTACTGTGGTCATATTGTGACAGCTGCTAGCTCATTATAATTCGGTTCCTCTGCTCCGTTTGCCTAGCAGGAATATTTAGGTTTGTATTACTTCAGAGTGTTTATGGCTACCCTGAGTTTAGCCCAGCATAAAGGTGAAGTGTTGTGACTTCTTTGAAATCCCAGTGGCAGAGGCAAGTGACAACGGTGTTCTTGTAAAGCTGCAAATGGTGGTAGGGGCTAAAGCAGGGAGTTTTTCTTTTCATTGAAAAACTGAAAATACTCAATGAGTCGGCTCATACTAGGCAAACTGTTTTTGGAAACCTTCATGTACAAAGGAAAAGCAGGACCACAAAGAAATATAATCTTTTCAAAGCATTGGTAGGATTTTCCCTGCCCTCTCGGTCAGTTGGGTTTTCCATGCAGGAATGTAAACATTATAAAAACAGCAAAACCTATGCACTAATGGC